TTAAGTGATAAGCCAGATGCCTATAAGAACTCAAGATTTTATGGATTTTCTATGGATCTAATAACAGAAATAGCCAAAGAAAAGAATTTAACTTTCGAGTTTAAGATAACGGAGGGCGGTAGCTATGACAGCTTAATGAAAGATTTAGAAGAAAGGGTAAATAAACTATTAGTTCATTATTATTGTGAAGATGGCTAAATGTTTTTCCAGAGAGCGGATTTGGGAATTTGCGATTTTACTATAACACCACAACGAAGGGCAACTGTCGACTTCAGTATGCCATTCATGAATTTAGGTACAGTAACACATCGCACTTAGTGGACGTTTTTACACATAACAGCTCTTATGCATTAGCTTAACTAACGTTTGTAAGTAATTTATTTTAAAGATTCAATTTTTAAAGCATTAGTCAAATAAAATTGAAAACTTAATGAAGACTGATACTGAAACTGACTATGGGTTTTGACTACGGTCCGATCTAACATCGCTGGGAACTAAGCTTGATTGCTAGAAAAGCATTTCAAACACAAAAATTTCGTCGACTTATTAATGATATTGGTTCTGTATACGAATATTCGTTCTGTTGTGATTTTAAGTTTAATTTAATTAAATTTTAATTTAATAATTAATTTTGTTTTTTAAGTTTTGTCATTGGAAATTTTAATTGACGCATAAACTATGTATTCATACCGGCACCTATTCAAGCAAACACTTATTTACATCTTTATACTTAGGTATTAGTATTTTACACAAACAAACTACCCAGGTTGAAGTTGATAATATGTATGCATTCATGAGGCCGATTTCATGGAAGGTTTGGTTTTATATGACGTTTCTCAGTTTTGCCAGTTCACTCACAATGTTCATCGTTGCCAGGTCCATATAAGATTAACAAGACTCCTGCAATTATTCCGCATATCTTTTTTGCAGAATGGCACAACGCGAATGGGAAAATCCAAAACCATGGGACCCCGAATCAAAGGAGCTTGAAAATATTTGGACAGTGAAAAACTTTTTATGGCTGAGCTTGGGGTCGATTACTGCCCAAGGATGTGATATTCTACCAAAGTAAAAATTACCCATTAGTGTATAATGGGATGGTAAAATATTGATTATTGATCATTTTTTGTTGATTGAATGATTTTTCAGGGCAGTGCCAACAAGAGTTATTGCTGCATCCTGGTGGTTTTTCTCTTTGATCATTATGAGTTCTTATACTGCCAACTTAGCTGCTTTCTTGACAATGCAAAAAAGGGATTTTACTATCGATTCAGTGGAAGAACTGGCTGCTCAATCGAGAGTGAAATACGGTACATATTTAAATGTGTTATTATAAGTACAGCTTTATAATGTTTCGTGCGAAAAGTATCAATTTGCTCAAAAAATATTATAGAAGTTTGTAAGAAGTAACTGCTTTTCTTTTAAATTAAATTTAAATTTTAAAATTCAAGAACGTAAATTTGTGACAACGGGTCTATATTCATCCCGAAACTGTTAAGACAATCTAATATTAAAAAAACAAAACATTTTATTGTTCGCTGAAGGGGCATCATACAGTTTCTATCATCAATAGGCAGAAGGAGATGACAACATTTACAAATCAGTTTTTTGGGAAATAAAGTCCATACGATTTTTATTTAGGTACTACATGAATATATGTAGGGTGGAGTGGGGCAGGTTCGAACAGTTTTGGTTAAAGTGACTTTTATTTTCATTCATATGTTTTTAATTAAATAACACAGCAGTTTAAAAAAAACTTGTACAGTTTTTTGTAAAAAAGTAAAACAAAAAGTTTCATTTGTCGGAAGGTGCCCCATGGTGGGGCAGTTTTGAGGTAGATTTGGACATATACTTCAAAACTAGTTTTTCTTCGAAAAGTATATTTTCCATCCTTTAACATCGTTACTTACTACAACAAACATATTGACCCAAAAAAAAGGTAGGTAAATAATTAAAACCAGTTTTTGTTATTAAAATCATAAAATATGGTAAATTACTTTAAATTTAAAGAACTAAAATTCACATTGAATTTTAGTACATTCAATTGAAACAGAAGTTGCCCTGGGTAGTTTTGCCTTTATGTCACAGCCTGCGATGGCTGATCATCCACAGTGGGAAAGTCGAAACGGTTGTGCCAACGTCTTAAATCATTTAAAACAAACTCGCTGTATTCTGTAACCTGTATCACTAGCCTGACGTAATAAGCAATTGTTTTTTTTGTGGGAAATTTTACCAAAACGTAATCGTCACATAAGTCCTTATCATCTGAAAATTAAACACAAAAAAACTGTGTAAATATTTTGTCATTTTGTACCCAAAAGCTTAGTTCAATTAATCGCAATCGGATCACATGGCAATATCTGAATCAGATGAGGAAACAAAATTCTTTAAATTTTTTTATTAGAAATTTAAAAAACTCGAAATCAGAATCTTTTGCTCTTTTCATTGTCTTGCAGATATTTTTGGTTCTTGATATAGTTCCTAACCATCCCAAATCAAATGTTAAGTAGGTAAACTAATTAAATAAACATATTAAATAAACTAATTTTCAATAACATAAACTGTAAATAAATAAGTCGTGCACTTCCGTATAGTCCGAATGTACCCCACTCTACACTGTCCGGATGTGCCCCACATTCACAAAATGTAAAACAACCTAAAATTTTTAAAATTATACTGTCGATTTTCCAAATATACGTTATGTGTTTAAAATTTTGATTATACGTTTAACATATGCCATTTCAAAACCAAAAAATTACAACACCAAATAGTGCAAAACCTTACGAATAAATGACACTTAAAACGTACTTCAGATCAGTGTTTATTACTTTGGCTAATAACTTTTAAATCGCTTTGAATACTCACATAAAATTATACGGCACGGCGTAAAATAAGCAATACCAACTGTTTAAATACCGAATCACGTCTTGTTTCAAAAGGCGGTAAAATGAAATCGTCAGAATCAACCCCACTCTATCCTACCATAACTACGTCTTTTAAGCTTTTTAGAAGCTAACTAATGTTGTTTTCAGGTTTGCTTGAGAATGGATCAACACAAACGTTTTTCCAGACCTCAAACAACCCACTTTACCAAAAAATGTGGAGTACTATGAAGAACGAAAAACCATCGGTTTTTGTATCAGGCAACCTATCTGGAGTTGACAGAGTTTTATCAACAAAAAACGCACTTTACGCTTATTTCATGGAATCAACTGGAATTGAGTTTGAAATGGAACGAAAGTGTGATTTGCGAAGAATTGGAGGCCTGCTAGACTCCAAATCCTATGGAATAGGAATGCCGCTAAGTAAGTTTTAAAATCGAAGCATTTGTTACGGTTGATATAAGATTTGTTTTAACAGATGCTGACTATCGGCACACTATAAACAGCGCAATTCTGGTTTTACAAGAAAGTGGAAAATTGATGACATTAAAGGAAAAATGGTGGAAAACAGAAAGGGACGGCGAACCATGCAACAGGGTAAGTAAATGTTTGTGCGTAGTATTTCAAAAGGGGCTCAATAATATCTTCAATTTGGTCAACTTCAGGTCGTAGAAGAAGAAACTGATGCGCTGGCTTTATCAAACGTTGGCGGAATCTTTATTGTGCTCTTGGTAGGAATCGGCCTAGCCTATGTTATTGCACTATTCGAATTTTTGTGGAATGTTCGACAACTGTCTATCGAGGAACAGGTAAGGAAATTATTAAAAATACTCTACCTCATGCAAAGAAGTTGAATATTTGAAATGCTTCTTCAGCTATCAGTAGATCTTGAAAAAATCAAAATAGTAATTTATGTAACTAAAATGCTTGGACATTTTATTACCGAATCAGAAATGCCAAAAGTTCATAGCATAATCTTAATATAATTTGAGAAATTTTGGAAAATAATTGATAAATCTACTGGTGGTGAAAGCTTAGATTCACCTGTTGAAAGATCATGAAAAATCTTAGTGTTTCGCATGTTTAGCAAGATAATTTTAGTTTTAACGTACTCTGGTGGTTGCATAACGGTGTTCTTGTAAAAGTGTATATCGCTTTCCAACTGCTGCAACGATTACACTTTTATAAGCATAAATCCCACAGCCAAGTATTTTTGAGATCAGCGTGTGGAAATTGGTAAATAGGCTTGCTAATTTATATAGAAACTCATCAACCGCTTGTGATTAAATTTATACCGGTTATTGCCAACCACAATAGAACGTGTTGGATTAATTACAACTGTTTTTACTAATGGAAATGAAAATACTACAAGTATTTCCATGAGCGTGTTCAATTTGTACAACATATTGAAATTCGTTTTGGTTTTTCCGTAACAACAAAATGAAAACAAAAATTGCATTAAAAACTGGCAAATGGTTTTCCTTCAATATTAACAGAAAAAGTTTTCTTATTGCGCATTTCAACATCCTCTACATCGAAAACTTCGCAACATATCATTGAAAAACGAAGAATTTCTATTTTGGTCACCCCTGCTCGACTGGAAAACTTCGTTAAAAGTTTCGATCTTTCCTACTGGGTTTGATGGTATATTTATAAAGCACGCTGTATATTAATATTTTTTAATTAATTAATTCTTGTATAAAATGAATTCATGAAATACAGAATGTTGAAAGTTTACTAGTTTATTTTGTGGTTTATTATTTTTAACAGTTAATTTTTTTTGGTATGACTTGCTATCAAATAACATAGAAAATTCACAGCCGATTGAGATATGAAAATACTTAATTGCGGTGTGGCATTTATTAAATGCTAATTTGTTGTCTCAGAATTATGGATCAAAATTAAAAAAAAAACGTTAAATACGACGACTATATGAGAGTTCGTGATTAAGGAAGTAAAAATTTGGCAAATCAATTCCACTAAATCTGGTAAAAAATATAGATATTTTAACATGCACATTTCTACTGGTTTAAAACATTTCCATTTGACAAAAACTACTCACACAGATAATATAAAAAATAAGCAGCAAAACAGTATAACATTTTAAAAGCTAATTTATAATGTAAGCGCGGCAGTGTTCTATACAATTGTTAAAAAAATGTATTTCTTATTGTGCCGATATCTGTTCATAGCTAAAATTTGGTCCCAACGTAAACGGCGCTAAACGTATTCCAGTTTCAAGAGTATTGTGCATTTTTGACTAATATGCGATTGATTTTCAATAAATCTGACTTTCTATTTCAGCTCTCATACATGCAGACGCTAAAATGCGAAATAAAATTTGCATTTAGAATATTCGAGAAAAAGAAACGAGTGAAACCAGTTCCGTCGGAACCGTCTGCTTCCACTAACTCAGTTCCGGTGCACAATTTCGACCAAATGAGCGTGACAAGAAGCGTCTTTAGCAAATCAGCCACTTTGCTAAATTTCAGTACAGAACCTGACAATGTGCTGAGACACCGGCGAAGAAGATTTTCAAGAATTTCTCGCACCAGTAGCCATTTGAGATCTCAATAGTCGTTTCAACTAAAATATTTATATATTTTTTGTTACATATAAAGTGCTATCAAATAAAATTCTAGTCGAACTAATAGTTTTGGTCAGTAGATTTTAAGGACTGCAAAGCACACTTAAAATTACTTTTAAAAATTACCTTTTTTTATGTTCCTACTTATTCATAAATCAATGCAGTGTGTTTCAAGACACTTTGCAAATACTCTAAAATTGTCTTACAGTTATTGCATTTCTGATGTTTGTCAGATTTTGTTAACATTCTTTGAATGTGTTTGAGATATCAGGAAACTTAATAAAAATACAGAGCGTTCCAGAAATGTGCAAATTGCACCAAAATAGTTCTTGGGATAGGTAGGATCTCAAGCGAAGAAAAGGTACGCTTGTTTACCATTCAAAGGCAAAGTTGGTCAAAACAGAATGTGCTAATCATTTCGGAAAATTCCTTTTATTCATTATTTCTATTATTGTGAAACCAGATTATGAGAAGATGGCGGTTCGTATATCATATTTGCCTTTTTGAGACAAGTTTAGCTGAAAACCAGTAATTTAAAGATGAGTGATTTGTCGAAAAAACTCTTTAGTTGGTTATCAGTTGATAACCCATCGATGTATGGTTCGTTTAATGATAAATTTGACCCAAAATGTCGAATTTGCTGTCAGAATTCGCCTAGAGTGGCTTTGAAGCGAACGTGTAAAATGATGGTACGGATGTCGCTTTCCAGTATTTATATCTTAAACTCCTTCATCCAAGTTTAAGTTATTGTGTTTTGACAGCACTGTATATTCGAGTCTAACCACTTGAGGTTGGATACATTTGAAACAAATAGAGTGCCACTAATTCTTTCAATGTTGACCAGAAATTTTTGCATTTTAGCGAAAAAAATTAAAATTAATGCGTCAGGGTCTTCTGCAGTTGGTTTTTCGATCATCGTGCTTTTGCTTCAAGAATAGCAGCTTGAAGCATTTTCTGGTTCAAAACTTATAAGTTTCGCACAAACCATGAAATTTCTTTGGGCTGAAATTCTAGCGGAAACCGAGTTCCATGTAATTGGATGGTTTTGAATTCATATTTTTTTCTTAATTTGGTCTTTTAAAACTTTTCAAAACTGTTTCTCTTTATTTATCGATCATGGCAATCTTTCAGTCAGACTAATATACAGCATGTAATTTTTGCAAGAAAAAACTAGGATGAAAAGTTGGGGTTGTTAATTCAATATTCTCAGCCGGTTTATTTTATTTAAATGTTAGGCGCTAGAAATGAAAAACTTTCTTCGAAAGTTCAACTTTCTAAGCGTAAAATTTCTTTGTGGATCTTTCTTCAATCTTTGAAGAGATCGTGTAAGCAGTTTTCTTGCAGTCCGAAAAATAGTCGATTTTGGTGAAATTCAAAAAATAGAAAACTGAAAAATTTTACGGATGAATAGTCTAATTTTCGACATTTAGAATTACATAAATCAGCCAACACTTATCTCGTCTGGTGCAATACTAATAGTATTTTTCTATATCTTTATTTGTGTATAAAATATAAAAAGTTTAAAACTATAAAAGTTGCTATAAATTTCCGTTAAAATAAAACTAGTACAAGCGTAATAAGTTGTTTCCATGTATAACAGAAAGTACCWATCATGRAGGCGGAGTTTCAAACAGTTATCACTTAAACAAAAATATAAAATTCGTTAAAAAAATGCACGCTCTTCRCAAAACAAAAACAATAGTTGTTGACAATAAATCTCATTGYGGCGTCTTGCAGTTAATGGCTTTGAGGTAAACAATCCACGAGACAAACGTTACAAGCACAATTGTTTGAGCAGATGGTGTTTTCTAGCGATTTGTAGTCAAATTAATCACATTATTTATGTCATCCATGCTAGCCATTTTCACTTTATGTAATAAATGTTTCAGTTTAGCAGACACATTATTTTTAGAGTATGGGTAGGTAGAAATAAATGATTGCCTGTATAGAAAATAGAGTGGTCATGGCCACGGCAAATACGCAAAGTATGATAGTTCCAGAATTATGCCGGTCTAAAATAAGAGAGCGTCTGCAAAGTGTAATTTATTAATACTTGCATTTTAAGTGCCAAAAAGTGTGCAACAAAAATAAATCACCCAGTYATTCGTATTTATTATTTYCTGCTTTTCCAATAAATTGCACAATTAAATGGTTTAAATGTTAAAACATTTTAATATTTTTTTAAGTCACTAGAATAGTTGAKTATAGTTACKTTAAAAAGATTGAGGTGATCAGCAATAAAGGAGTTTAGGTTGCGTTTWGATATAGTTCTGAGATAATCAGTGTAAAATTATCTGGACATTTTCATATTTTAGCAGATATTTAAAAAATATATCGGTTAATAGGTAACAAAACAGGAGCAAAAATCATATTATCTTCTTAATGTCAAATAATAATTGCCTTTAGCTACTAAATTATCCACTTAACTTATTTTTCTTAAAACGTGCTCTTGAACATATGTCCGGCTTCTTTAATTGTCCTAAGTCTATAGGCCTTGCCATTTGGAAAAATCAAGCCAAAGATCGAAAAATTCACAATGCAGATAATGGACATCATATGAAAATTGATCAAGCTAAAAGTAAGAACTGAAAAAGACATTTATTTAAATATAGTATACAAAACTGTTGAGGTGCAAAAGGTACTTAATCGGACCAATTAGTAGATACATAAAACATAGAAGACTAAGCTGGAATACTATGAAGAATTGCCCAATTTTTAATGTCTTAGTAAAACAGAAAATTAAACTATAATTATGAAAGTGCTAATTAGCAAAATTATATCTACAATCTTGTTAATTAATGACCCTATTCTGCAAAAGTGCACCTAAATATAAAAAACTTCGCAAAAACTCTTACCACTAATGAACCTCACACTAATATGTAATTAGGAATGGCAGTATTAACAGCAAATATGTTATATATTTTTTTAAATCTATTTGCAATGTCTCTTGCAATAACCAGACATTATGCATCTCATAACTTGCTGTCTGACAGACAGAGAAGAATATTCCTTCTCTATCTATACGGAAGATCCAGCAGGCATTTAAAACCGTCAATGTGCTGAAAAGTATTGCAACGACCTGGTAGTTAAGTTTGGCTTATAATTATAGCAAAAATTAATTAGCGGCTTGACAGTCTGGGGCTATTTTTATAGACGATAGAAAAATTATTGGCTAAGCACCAGACCTAGGCACTCAAAATATTTCCTATGTTTAATAAGCAAGTTTGTAAAGTATTGCAACTATTTGAAAGGACGATGCAACAAATTTAATCGGCAGCCTTTAGTTTATTTTATTTCTATTGGTTTCTCAGATTTTAATTAAACTGGAAATTGATGGGTGTCTACGGAGTTTTGTGGGTGTTTTGTTTTGTGTGGCTCTTTTGTCTCGGATTCACCAAAGACAGAATTAACGTCGGTAAGCAGAGTGGATGCAATAATGCTTTATTGTACTTTCTAAATTATAAGTAATTACAATGTTTTGGAAAGACCGTCGACGATTTCAACGTGGTAAAACAAAACAATAAATTAAAAAAATATATTTGGTATTTACTTAAGAGATAAATGAATGGTAATCAGTATTTATTGTGTTTGCAACTGCAAGTCGTATTTATTTAGTTATTTTCCATGTAGCTGTAGCTACGACAGTTTAAGAGAATAAGCTTTTTGTGAAGATCGAAAAACAATAGGTCGATAACAACTTAATGACTGAAACAAATGTTATGTGATGATATTTAATCTTCTTGAACTGTCTGCACCGGTAATATTCAACAGAAAGATTAATAAACAGTTCCAAAATTCCAATAATAACTGGAAGAACATGTCTGGGATTGAACAAAAAATTTCGAAGACAAGGCTCATAAATGAAAAACATAAAGAACTCATACATAAAAGTACTTAGGGAGGCTTTAGGAAAACGAAACAGATTTTTGAGACTACCAATGTATGAACAGCTGTAGTACCAATCTCAAGAGAATGATTTTCAAAGCAATCATCATCCAGGGCTGTTAGCAGTATTTTCTAAATTTATTATAAAATGTCGATGCCTTCAATGTTAAAATATCAACAAATTTTATTAACAACTTAAATTATATGACATTGCATTTAGTAATGTACTGAATAAAAATGTAATTTACATTAAATTTATTTTTACATTTGCTGCATCTGATTACATAATATATTCAATCGTGCTACTGGATGATATAGAAAAGTTTATGCGGTTTTCAAAAATGTTCGAATAAGCAATTCTCCACGACTGACTGCTTAGAGAAGATATTTCAACAGCAAAACAATAAGTATCCAAAATACGGTTTTCTGTTCCTTGTGTAAAACTACCATTGTTTTCAAGTCAATTTAAATATCGTAATTTTTGTTAAAGAGGGAAAGAAGGCAATAAGTGGGAGCCAGATCCAGTAGTGTTAAGAACGTCATTTAATTTGTGATTTTGATCGGTTTATATTACTGAATATTATTGAAAGCATTTTTCTTTGAGACTATTATTTCTAGTAAATTAAGTGTTAATAAACCAATTGAAATATTGCAGGCCTAATTACCGATGATAATGAAGCACTAGGAGATATCAACTGGAATATGTTGATAAACGAAATTGGCAATGAGGATGAGGTTGAAATTCAAAACATCAACTTATTGGAAAATGATTTTCTAAGATCAATGGATTCCTGTAAGTAGATAACGTGATATGTTGAACCGCGGTGTTTCTAACGAAAACTGTACATTTGAACCACAATTGACTGTGGCCATACAATATGACATCGCAAGCTTCGGATTGTCGGGTTGAATATAATAACATAACGTCACATCGGTCGAATAGTGCAACTTCCAAAAACGATAAGTTGCGGCTTCGAAATAAGATTTTTTTGGTCAATAGTACAAGAAAATATTCTTTAAAAAAATTGCCAATCTGGTCAACATGATGCGTTTCCATGAATGCTAATCTGATGGAGGGTTAATGCGTATCGACAAATGTTTCACACTCTTAAGATTGGAATTTCAACAGCGGGTAAATTTAGAACGTTTGCACATTGACCCATGTTCATTTCAACATTTAAATTATAGTAATGTAACTGCCATTAGAAAGACGTTTCAGGATTTCTCCGTCTTTGGACCCAGACCATAGCGAGAAGTAAAAAGTTTTATATCTGGCTAGATTTTCATATCAATATTGTAGTTTGGTTGTTAATACTTTTGCATAAAAAACTCGTCATTTAGGTCACATCTAGATGCACCGCGTTGACGCAATCGTTAGTAATGACTTGCTTTAAATTTTAAAGTAAAAACAAACTTTACTTATCACATTAGCATTGAAATATACCAAGTTAAACCAACTCAATTCTAAATCAAGATGAAAATTAACTGATTTGGAGCAAAGCAGCATTTTGACTACCAACACTGTTGATCGACGCTTAAAATGTCTGTCAATACAAAATCTAAAAGTTATTTATTATCACTTTAATAAACAAGTTAAATTCCGGTCCATGGTCTATAAGCTCACAAAATTTATAGTAGACAAGTTCTATGTTGTTGAGGCGGATTCATTTTTTTACAAACTTCTTTTTGGGTATTTCGCCTTAAAAATTTTTGTCGTTAAAAAAGACAGAATTTCCTCACGTCTTTTATTACAGATTGATAAATAGTGCTCCTATTTCGCAATAAGAACGAATTATTTATCAAAAAGTAATCAAGAACTATCACCTAGAGGGTATCCTGCGACACACTTAGGCTCAAGCTGTAATAAGATAAGAATAAGATAATAATAAGTAATAAGAGCACTATTTATCAATCAGTAATAAAAGACGTGAGGAAATTTTGTCTAAAATTTTTTTAGGCGAAACACCCAAAAAGAAGTTTGTAAAAAAATTGATAGTGTTTTATTGATTATATAGATTTTTAATTTCATGTCAGACAATGCAGTATCATTGTCTACTAGAACATAATATTTCAGATATTTAAAAATATTGCTTTTATTAATATTTAATTAAATAAACTGTTTGCATTCGAAAGGAAAAATAATGGCTTTATTTCAAATTTCCCGAGTATCAATAAATATTGCTAGAAGCATTTCCAACACACAAAAATACATTTTGGCTATTGCCAAACATTTTAAATAAATTATTTTTACGACGTTTGTAGATCAAATGTAAAGGGGTCATTAATTGAAATAAATATTCGAAACCTAGGTTTGAAGAGCATTGACAACTGCAGACAATTGAAAAATTTAAATGTTGCTCGCACAAATATATATAAAGTTACATTTTCTATCAGGATTAAAATGTCACTGAATGTACTTATACGTAAATTAAACCTGACGTTATATTTAGAATTCTGGAAAACCTGCAACTAATTTAGTGTAATTAATTTTACGTTCACTTTATATTCACATCGTAGTTTGCCAAACTGCTCTTGATGAAAACGGACTAGCAGCAGTATATGGAATTGAGGGTAGGGATATATCGAGTACTTTGGAAGCCATTGCAAGCCATTTGGCTGTACCTTATATAATAACTGGCTGGACACCAAGAGAATTAAAGGCTTTCGACACCACATTCAACATATTTCCTGAAGCAAGTTTATTATCTCAGGTAAATTATCATAATTGTATACTTTTCAAACAACGAATTAAAACAACTTGCTTTTAGGGCTATGCAGCGTTAGTGGAAAGTTTGAACTGGGCTTGTTTTGCTATTGTGTACGAAAATGAAGAAAGCTTAATTAGATTGCAGGATGTGATGAAAATTGAAAAGTATAGTACTGATAATTCTAAAAACGCTATAACTTTAAAACAACTTCCGGAAAATGGCGACATCAGGTTTGAAAATTTATTAGATTATTCCATTATGCTGCAATAGTTAATAAATGTTGCTATAATTTAGACCAATATTGAAAGAAATTAGACAATCGGGAATAAATAGCATAGTGCTAGATTGTAGCACAGACAAAATCCATAATGTTCTTTTGAACGCAAAGGAAGTTAATCTAATGGACGATTTGAATACAAACATATTCTTAACGTCACTGGTAATAACTGCAATTATTATTTTATCTCAGACCAATGCATTAGAATATTTTTAGGACGCACATATTCTGGATTACAACATGTTCGAAAGCTCAGCCAACATTACTACAGTGCGGCTATTTAATCCTGACCAATTGGACGGAAAGGACATTCTCAAGTATTATTCACAAAATCACATTTCCACTTTCACAGTAAGTTCATGTTTTTGTTGACTCGTTAAATTTATAAATGAGTTTTCAGTACATTTTATATTTATAGGAACTATCTGATCTAGGACATGTTTTTATATTTGTGAAATAATCTAAATATTAGTCATCGCATTGACCTTTATATTCATTTGGGCAAATTTTGCTAATTTAAGATAAATAATAATAGCAACATTTAAATTTTTAAAATGTCCGATAATATTATAGTGCATTCCGCTTTGCCAGAAATGTAGACAGAGAAGCAATGCTGTATTTAAAAATAACAAATTTTAGTCAACTGAACTTTAAAATTAAGGAATACGAAGAAATAAAATAAACTTACAATTTCAATTATCCAGTTGAGCAAATTTGAAAATCCAGTAGAATATGTAACTAAACAGAAAGCAAAATCCATATCCCAATAAATGTTTCAAAAAGCGGTATTGATAGCTTCTTATTGGTTGATTTTATAAAGATGGTTCTTATGCAGTTCTTATTTCTTATTCGAATTTAGTTTTGTTGACACAACATGACTGAGAACATGTATGTAAAATTTTAACGTCATTTATTATAGTTATTATTAGCATTACTTAAGACACTAACTAATTACATTAAATACTTATTAAACATTTCACATGATTACACACATGAATTATAGATGTGAATGTTATTTTTTATAAATTACCTGAACAATATTGCTTTGATGTGAGGCATACCAGTTAATAATTGAATATATACGCTTTCAATTCAATAAAATGTAAATTGAACTGACCCTTTAATTAATTTAAAGACAATAAGTGTAGGGAGGGTGGAGTTTATTGATGAATTAATAAAATTATGGGATTAAATGAATAACGTTCAGCACATACGACAGAAATTGCTCCTTATTTACATATTCAATATAAAGCGCCTCTTTAGCCAATTACAGTAAAATAGAGAGCAATTTCACGGAAATCAGGCATTTCCGAGAATAAAGCTTTGCGGGAATTGTTCAGCCATTTAAGGCAATTGGAAATTATCGGGGACGTTCAGGAAAAATTAAACTAATATATGATGGTTATTGATAAAAAAACCCATATATAAAAAATAACCGATAACTACTAAATACATTTCAGTTTTCAGCAACAACGTGAATATGAATTTGTTTTACTTTTCATACCTAACTTACACTACCCATTAATTTTTGACGATATATTTGAAAATCGAATTTCATTCTACGCTTCTTTAGGTGAAATTTCGTGGAAATTAAATAGATAGTAACCATTCTTCACGTGACCACGAAAATTTCAGACGATCAACAGAGAGTAAACATAATAGCTATTAATATGAAATGGATAAACCCTATAAACTAAAACTAAGAATTACACAAGTTAAAACTGGAAATGTACACACACTTCAGATAAGAAAGAAGAAGCTAAGATGAGAAATATGAAATTTAACTGCAATTTAAAAGCCAGAAAAAAAAAAGAAAGGGAACAGTTACAATTGGATAATACATTTGGTAATAGATATTGAATACACATTGAATACTAGACAACAGTTTAATTGCGTGGAAAATTGGAGAATGTCGGCAAGGAGGAAAATCATTATTTGAAGTAAACACATGCCGTTGAGGACGTGGGTTGGCAGTATAAGAATATGTTCATTAAAAGATATTTTTATTATTAGCTAAATTAAATCTAACTTCAAAGCCTTCTGGATATGTGAACAGAATTACCAAAATAACTGGTTAAAATATTTTCGTTAAGAGATGAGTGAAACCGATCCTTTTACTCCGATCCGGTTACTCGAGAATAGTTCAACTATACTCGAGTAACCCGTGGACATTTGAAATCAACAACCTGGTCATATATTTACAAGTAAACTTTATGACCGATTACGAAAATCTCACAAAACATGAAGAATGAATTAGTCCATTATGAAAAATTATCTTGCGTCATATTCAAAAACAAGTACCTTAGCTTATATGTTGAAATGACTGCAACGTTTATCAAATCGATTCAAACGAGGGATGAATTAATAGCAAGCAGGACAGTTGAATTTTATAGAGTAATAGAATTGAAACTTTTAATGTAATTCTCAGCAAACTGGAATATATCCTTTTCGCATAACGAGCACTGAGTTAGGACATGTTTCCAGGTGAAAACGGCTCTCATGCTAGATGCAATGCTTTTGCTTGCGAAATCATTTCAAGCTATTAAATCAACACATGCTGACGGGGAAATTGTTTACGAGCCATTATTTTGTAACGCTTCTGAAAAATACAACGATAAATATGGCTTAGTGTCGGCGCTGCAGGAGGTAAGCTTTTAATAATTCATTACTACTGTTTTAAATTGCAAGGTTTTATTTATTTTTGGCGTAAGAGAGGGACATTTTAGGCAGGATAAATTCAAATTAGGAGCAACAGCCCTATTTGCTTCATTTTACGAAATGCGATAACAAATATTTTGTTCAGTTTTGTGCCCACAATGTAATCACTGAATGTATGCATTTTGCAGACTGTTCTAAATGGTGTTACCGGCGAAATTAACCTAAGAAACGGGAAACGTGAGACATTTGATTTGGAAGTTTTGGAGCTATACAAAACCCGTAAAACGATAGCACTTTGGAGTTCAACTGAAGTGCAAAAAATAGTCCTGACACAAAATGCCACTGAACGGCAAGCTGAATTGCAAAAACGTCTTCAGAGCCATAATTTTGTGGTAGCGTCCAGGTACGCAATAAATTCAATCTATGAAAATATCAAATTTATTTAAAATGACTCATTTAAGAGTGGGTGAACCATACCTTTTTGAACGAAAAGATACAGAATTGCAAGGGAATGCCAGATATTATGGTTATTCTATGGATTTGATTAGCGAAATTGCCAAGATCATGAACATCACCTTCAAATTACAAATTACTAAAGATAATCTGCATGGAAATTTAGTAAAGGATCTCATGGAAAGGGTAAATTAATAGGAAAAGATTTTTTAACAACTCTTTTGAATATATTTAACGTGGTTGTACTTATTGATTCGCAAAGATTGTTCAATCAATGTTTCGGATAAAGAGACCGTATACTTACCGATATACTATACCGACGAAATATATCAAAAATTTTAATGTCAAAAAGTTTTTTTTAAATTCATTATAATTTAACGGTAGAAAAAGCAAACAACTTTTTATTCTTAAAATTTTATAAGCTTACATATCACTGTACACCAGTTAACAGGGAAGAAGCTAGAATAGAAGAATGACTAGCTATAGTACTTGAATAATAAAATATGTTTTGTTTCTCAGAGAGCAGACTTAGCCATTTGTGATTTCACAATAACACCGCAACGAAGAGCAGACATTGACTTTAGTATGCCATTCATGTCTTTAGGTACCTACAAACAAGAAATGTACGTTTTTCAATGTTTGAAGGCTATTTTGTGTTAGGAATAGGAATTCTTCATAAAATGGAAGGAGGAGAAGAAGAAGCAAATTTGTATGGTTTCCTAGGACCATTGTCTACAGTAGTGTGGCTATATATTGGGCTACTGTATATATTCATGTCATTTATATTGGTTCTCATAGCCAGGTAATTGGTAGAGCTATAATTATTTCAGCGCTTTATTTCTGCGTTACCAACAAATTTTATATTTGCCTGCGCTTGTGATTTTTAACATATATCTATTTTTATGACCATTCAAATTCCGGTTAAAACAGTCAGTTCTAACAACAATTCGGTATCAAATGATCAAATAATGCGAAATTAAAGGCATAAAACAATGCACTTGAAACTGCACGATCAGAAAATTACAATCATTTTAGAATGTCCACGAAAGATTGGGAAAATCCTCATCCATGCGATCAAAATCCTGCGGAGCTGGAAAACATCTGGAATCTGAAGAATTGCTGCTGGTTAACGTTGGGTTCTATCACTACCCAAGGGTGTGATATATTGCCTAAGTAAGTAATGATTACCAAAGTAAGTCTAGTTGAAATCGTATTAATTGAATTTAACAGTTTCGCTCATCGAATTTACATCTGAAAGTACTATAAAAGCACGTTGATAGATTTAGCCGCTAAATATTTTCGTTCATTTCAGAGGAGGGTGCAGTCGAATAGCTACAGCAAGTTGGTGGTTTTTCTCTCTTATCATAACAAGCTCTTACACAGCTAATTTGGCAGCATTTCTGACAATGTCCAAGCAAGATGACTCTATTAACAATATTGAAGAACTAGCCGCACAATCCAAAGTAAAATATGGTAATAATAACTTGCGATTATAAAATTTTTGACACAAATATCTACTAGCCACATTTCATATACAACGCAAATACATGTCTTCTAAAATTGTTGTAAAAAAACTACTAGCTCGATTTAAATAAAATTTGGAAAGTAGACAGAGTGCTTAATTTGAAGCATTAGTAGACATTTTTATACCGACTTCATACGCGCCTACAAATATAAATCCCTAATTTTTCTAGAATAAAAGAACTTAACATTTTAAAGAAAATTTTACAGTTTGGACTAATGAAAATTTATTTTCGCAGGTTGTTTGCCAAACGGGGCAACTGCTAGCTTTTTTCAATATTCCAACGACTCATTATACCAACGGATATGGAATACCATGATTAATGAAAAACCTTCTGTATTTGAAGACACCAACTTAAAAGGAGTTGAAAGGGTTTTATCGACTAAAAATGCACTGTATGCGTTTTTCATGGAGTCAACCGGAATTGAGTATGAAATGGAAAGAAAATGTGATCTAAAAAAAATTGGCGACTTGCTCGATTCCAAGTCCTACGGAATCGGCATGCCAATGAGTAAGTTTAATATAGTTTATTAATACAGATAAATGGAATCCCGTAGACGTTATTAATTTATAATATCTTTAGATGCTGAGTATCGACACGAAGTAAATGCCGCTGTTTTAAATCTTCAGGAAACAGGAAAATTAGTCGAACTGAAAGAAAAATGGTGGAAGCAAGAGCGACCAGGAGAACCATGTCCGAGCGTAAGTTGCACAAGAAGTTGTATTTGCGATGTTTGAAAATATTATTTTAGACCGTTCCGGTTAACACCGACGCTATGGCACTAGAAAACGTTGGAGGAGTGTTTATTGTCTTGGCATCTGGAATAGGAATAGCATTTGCTATAGCTATACTAGAATTTTTATGGAATGTCTATAGTATCGCAGTCGAAGAACATGTAAGCAATTTTAGTTAACAGTCTTAACTACTGGTGAGTTTTGCAAAAATCCCCAGAGTGTGACAAAACTAAATGTCGAAGTTGTAGTCAAACTTAACTGTTTGCGAAACGGTAGCAATAAAATAATTTCCATTGTGGGCCAACCGCGTAACAAACTCATCAGTTGCAATCAATATCGCAATCACAATCAGTCAATTCATCATGCCTAACTCTTCATAGCGATCTAAGATAATTCTAATGTGATTTTGTAATACATAATTTATCTTTACAGATTTCGTACTTTGAAGCATTGAAAATTGAGTTGAAATTTGCCTGCAATATATTTGTGACACATAAAAGATCAAAACCATTACTCTCAGGATCTTCTTCTTCAAATACCGTTAATGTAGAAGACAGCAAATCAAATCAATGTATTCTGACTGGAGCGGGCACATTTCTGAATATAAACACTACTATTCTAAATCGAATTGGGTCAACTGCAAATCTGAATCAAACCGAATCCAATTCTGCTCATAGTAGGAAGTCAGGATCTAAATCTAACAGTTAACTGAAAATGTACAAAATAAATACGTAGTGGTTCTATATTTTATTATAGCTGCATATACAATGTATTTTGGCGAATTATGTTCCTTTATGCCTTAAATATTTTTTTTTAGTTTGTAATCATTTGTGACACCTGTAATAGAACAAATAAATTAATGTTACAAGTTGCAAAGCAAAATGTTTTTTTTATATGATGTACCAGTTGTTAATTGCATGAGAAGCGGCTAGTTGGGCAACAAAAACTACTAATAACTACTAACCAAGAGAAAGGTAGTAATTATTCCATTCAGTTATTCTGATAACGTTAACTGAAATGGTAAAAACTTGTTTTAATGATTGAAATTTGCATAGCAGGTCTCTTAAACCTTGATTAGTTTAAATTGGCGGTCACTGATTTCTGATGTTCTCTGATCTCTAAAAATTCATCAGCTTTATGTTGATGATGTTGTTCATATTATTTTAGGATTTCTCTCCCATTCAAAGAGATGCCGCAAATAACTAAAAATTATGTAAACTCAGAAAATTTAATACAGGGTGATTTACAACCTTATGGACATAGAACAGAGGTGTGTAGAGGACCTCAAAAGAAGTTGAGTTGCCATTTAAGTTTTTTTGTCAGGCCCATGGTTTAACGAAATACAGGGTGTTAAAATAAAATAAAAATAAATGGGTATTTTCTCTTTAGCTCCTACAGTTAATGAGATATTTTGCTCAAATTTTTATCGTAGGCTACTGCTTAAACCCTCTAGCCGTAGATAAGCTAACTGGTTGCGAAAATATACCCAGTGATTTTTTTCTAGACCCCCCTTTTACTCCGCGAAGTTGTTTGTGGTGCGGCACTGACTTCGACCGAAACAATTTTTGAATTTGCTGTCCAATTTAAGATTTTTTTATCTCTTGCTGTTTTTGCGTATTTGCCTTCGATTTCGAAGTTGATATGCTATTAGTTTTGGGGTTTTGTCAGAGTAACTGTCGAAGAAGATCGACAAACGTTTGCTAAAGTTGAACGGAAAGCTCACGAGACGGTCTCTCTCTGTCACCGCAATAACGGTGACCGCATTTACGCAGTGATCGCAAGAAATGAGGAGCGAATTTTTACGCCACATAGGAAATCAACCCCAAACCAGTACCCGAAGAATATCCAGGCTTTTTTAGACCATCCACGGTCTATCGAGTTATACGGCGTAATATGCTGCATCCATATCATTTTCAAGAAGTTCAAAAACTGTTTCCACAAGACTTAGAGCCAAGGATGATTTTTGAAATTTCCTTTTAAATCAAAACGTTCGTTTTCACAGAAGTATCCTTTTCACTGATGAAGCTTGCTTTAAGCAGCGGGGAATCACAAATCTACACAACAGCGATGAATATTCCGAACAAAATCAATTTATTACAATATCCCATCATTACCAAAGATAATTTAAAATGAATGTGCGGGCCGGAATCGCTGGGCGATATTTGGTTGGGCCAATTATTTTACCTAATTGTTTGAACGGTGCAAGTTATTTGTTTGCCCTACAAAACACTCTTCCGCTTTACTTTTCTTTTCAATGCAACAACACGTATTTGAATCAAATTTTCGATACTTCAGACATTCATAAACATATTTAATATTCAATATCCTATAACTATCTTCAACTATCAAATTAACTAAAAGATATTGTTTTTTTCAGAAATTCAATCAGAAAATCAATCTCCTCAAAACAAGTTATATCAATATAAATGATTATTGATGACAGAAAAATAAATAGTATTACTTATAATTTTTCAGAGGGTTTCTGTAAAAAATAAACGTTTTTTCTTAATGTAAATTTTTGCAATAAATCTGAAAATATTTAACATTTCTAAAGAAGAGAAGGGACACTGTACATGAAATGTGCGTAGGAATTACTGAGAAAATTAGTATCGTAATATTACGAATACCTTGGTGTACATGAAACACTTATAGAGAACGCCAACAAAACAACTTTCCCGATTAGCCGAAATCAAAACGAGCAAAAATACCTTTTAGAAATTCTCATGAATTAAGTTCAGCACTGTTTATGGAAATGTGCCTGATCAGTTATCTGTTGCATGACGCACCCTATGTAGAAAGCTTTGGTATTATGTAATTTATTCCATTTGAGAGGTACAAACTGTATATGGAATTATTTAGGAGTATTCCATAATTAAAATACTTGCTATAGCAACAAAAATACTTTTCTTCAAAAACTTCATTACTGCGGAATGAAGACGGATTTATTCGTCCTGGATAATGAATGATTTAAACCTTCAACTTGCCGAATATGGGCCCCTCATAAATTGCTTTCATTATTAAAAATTTATGAGCAGCTTTCAGAACAATAAGGAAGCGCCTTGAAATAATGGTGTGAATGTGAAATTTGTCGACGAAATTTTAGCCGAGACTCTTTATGAGTCTCCTATGAAGCTTTGGTGATTTGCGTCAATAATAGTTCTAAAATTGAACTAATTTCTGTACTGATTTAATGCACCTTTGTTAAAAGTAGAATAATATTTGACGCATTTTAATTGCAGATGCTTAAAGGCTCTTACACACATCTAGTCAACACTCTTTGCTTTGATGAACTCAATATATATTTAGTTAGTGATTCGTAGAAACCCGAAGGCTTATCAGTAAAGTATTTTAAGCAGAAAAAAACAGTTTCGTAGGTTTATTATGGTTAAATAAATTCTACAATTCCATGAAATCGCCGCATTATGTATTACAAGCCCATGGCTTTCTTCTCTTATATTCTGTGAATGTATTGGCGAAATGAATGGAAATTATTAATGTTCAATGCTGACATTGAACACAGCTGTATATACTTTCCTGACTGTGTTTCAATTCCAAATCAAATTGATTCCTGGGTTTCAGTCATTTATATAAGCCTTGGCATGC